TCGAGACGGACTGCAAACCTAAATTAAAGATCCACTTTTCCATTATTCCTAGCCAGTTATTTAGTGAATTGTTGAAAAGTCTAACTGCAACTTAATGCGGAATAGCGTTAGGTAAAAGGAACAACACGAAGACAATAAGAATTCGGAGAGTGGCGAATGCAGTCTGCTGATTTTGTTTTCTGGAGTGGGAGATATAGCCTCGCTGTTTTTTCTTCGTCCTCATCATTCGTTATACCATCGTGTAATTGGTTGTTCATGATCAGCGGTTTTGTCCTTCTTTCTTTTTTTCCTGTTCCGTGTTTACTTGCCTAGTTTTTCGTCTTTCAATGCAAAAATGATTATAAATTTTGCATGCAGTTCAAATATTTCAAAAATTCACTTATTTTCAAGATTTTTTCTGCAATTCCTTTTGTAATCAACGAACGTTTTCTGCAGACCATTTTGTTCACGATTCGAATGATTACATCAAATGATGACATGAATTATGACGTTAAGATTTAGAATCTTTTGATCTCACCCATCTTTGTTTCTTAGCATCGACCTGTCATGAAAGTTTCCGAACATCTTAATTTTATTCTGATGCTGTGATCGTTCCATGTCAATCGTGCGTGAAGACGTCGAAACTGTTGTCCTCGAATTTGAATGTTCTAAAACTATCGAAAAAATTTTCCAGGTGCTGAAGTAGTTGACAATAATGTCGAAGACAGGAAAGACAATATATGATTTCACCGTGAAAGATGCCGAAGGGCAGGATGTTTCACTAGAAAAATACAAGTACGATTCGCTTTGTATTCTCAGTTTCCATCGGTTGAGTCAGTTAACCGCAAAAAAACAGTCTGATATGAGAAACGATTTTTGGCGTTAATTGAAATGATTTTGAACTAGTACCGATTGAGTTGAATTTGCTTTATTTCATTTCAGAGGTAAAGTTGTTCTGATAGTTAATGTGGCATCGAAGTGTGGTTTAACAAGTTCAAATTACGCACAACTCAAAGAATTGCTCGATAAATACAACGATAAAGGCCTTGTGATCGCCGCTTTCCCATGCAACCAGTTCGGCGGACAGGTAATGTGAAGCGTTCATATCTTTTGTTGATGTGTTCACATATCTCGAGAGGATGTGTAATGAGAAGACTGACATGAATTAATTCAAGTCTCTTCGTCACAGTACTCAAGCTTGTCAACTTTAAATTAGTTTATTGATGTGGTAGTTAATCATGAATCAAATTTCGACCATAAATTGCAGACTGATTTCGAAAAGAAGAGCAAGCTACTAGTTTAATCGATTGATATATTTGATCGACAACTCTAACCCTATGTTAAGACTAAGCCATAAGCAGGCTACAACTTCTGCTGATAAATGATTTTGTGTTTCGAGTATATTTGATGTTCATGATAACAGACTTTACCCGCATCAGAAATTCTCCGAATCTCAACAGGCGTTGGTGAGTTGAAAATTTTCAGGAACCATCATGTGAGATTGATATTCGTAATTTTGTCAAAGACTCATTCAAGTTCGAGCCGGATCTGTATGCGAAAATTGATGTAAACGGTAGTAAAGCGGATCCATTGTACGTTTTCTTAAAGAAAGAACAAGGTGGTACTCTATTCGATGCCATCAAATGGAATTTCACAAAGTTCCTCATCGATGCAAATGGGCATCCGGTTAGTTTTTCTACTTCTTGGGATTTCGTTCGTTCATTTTTCTACCACTTTAAGATGGATGTTTGCAAACCAAGAAAAAAACCAGACCAAATTACGGAATAGACAAATTCATTCATTTTTTTTCGGACGAGTACATTCAAATAGTGTCTTTCCTGCTCACTTCACAAAACCGATACACAGACAGCATGGATGAAATTCTTTTACCACGAGCAAGCAGATGGAAATTTGTAGTTACCTCATAGGCAACTTGAGTTTAAAGTCAGTTTTTGCGAAAGTTTTTCCACCCGTATGGCGACCAGTTCGACGGAAAACCTTAATGCTGGTAGATTCGCATTCGCAATTCCTTCAAGTTATGCAGCAAGCAACTTTTTTCGTAAATTAGTATTAGTTCATTTAAATGTGAAAATGATGCTTTAAAAATTATAGGTTCTGTCAAAATTCATGAGTTGCATTTTTTTCATTTTTAAAATATAATAATGGCAGGACTGTTCCAATAACAAAGTGTGGAAATAACGGTGCAGTGCGGCCAAATGAATTNATTCCCAGTTTTATTGTTTCAAAATGCTCTATTTTCACCTCTCTTTTCAGTGATAGACTGTGAGGTTTGATAAGATAAAAGCTTTGCTCGCTATTCGGAAAGTTTTGAAAGTTGTGATATTTGAACATTTCGTGGTATATTGATAACACTGATTTTCCAACTGCTACATTTCAGGTAAGACGCTACGCGCCAACTACCGAGCCAAAAGACATCGAAAAAGATATTGAGACGTTGTTGGAAGGGAAAAGTCTTTGAACGGTACGAGTCTTGGTAGAAGTTGTCTTCATTAGGAGAATAAGATCAGGTCACTATTGCGAGTGTATTCGGTTTGCATGGAGAGCTCAATAAGCATCCATGAATCGTCAATCCATCTCAATCGGTAATGATCTGGTCGGCTTTTTTCTGAAGATGCTAAACTACCAAACTCGTCTTTCGCTTGTGTATTTTTAGTATTCTTGGAATATCTTCTGTTGGCGATTTACGCGTTGTAATATTTGTGATATTTTACAAACTGTAAATTTTAATATATTATATTTATCTATGCGCTTATTTATACGCATTCCTCATTTTTGTCTGCACGTTATGCTGTTGGGGTCATAGACCGTTTTATCGTATTATCGACATCTTTAGTCACTGTATCAGTACAATCTTAGATAAGTCTTTATTGAGGACTTGTAGTCAGATGTAGATGACATCCTCTGTTAGGCCAACATATTTGTTAGATTACGGGACCCCGAGAATGTTTTCTCGTAATCGTTGGTCGTGCTGTGTGAGCAGCTAACGCTGCCACATTATCAGGTCGTAAATTTCGGCTGCCTCGTTGTAAGTCATCGCTAGATTAGATTTTTTAATGCTTTTCTAACAAAAAGAAAAAGAGTTTGGCTCAGTCCTGCATTTTCAAAACATATCTTGGTGTTTTGGAATCTTTTTAAATCTCTATCTTTTATATAATTTTCTCTTGTAATTTTTGTTAAACCACATAAAACATCCTTTTGTAATCATTTGTATTTGTATACTCTCTAAACAACGGGTATACTTTTTGTATACTTTTTTGTATTTTTTTGATGGATAAACAAATCGTATTAAGTTGCTGTGGTGAAGAGATTATTTGGAATACACATAATATCGAGTTGGTCGTTGGTTGATTGAGTGAGTTTGGCGTCTATTGGTATGATTCGGTTGTTGATGTGATTCACCACACAGAAGATATTCATCACAAACGGAATGGGAATTCGAATTGACGGGGACACAGTCGACGATTGATGTACGAGCGAACTTAGAATCAGATCGAGAGGCGAGACTTCAGTTCTGATTCAGCAACAATGAAATAAGCAAGATTTGAGGTTCGGGTCCTGCACTATTGGGGATGTGACTTTATGTAAAATGATAAGATTTTGTTTTTGGAAAATTGAGGGCGGTTAAGGTAAAGTCACAATAAGATGGGTTGATATCCTTAAAAAGACCGCCCATACTATTACAACTCCACTTTGTCATATATTTCGTAGGTTTTCAATGACTGGCTCAGTTCCCTTGTGATGGAAATCAGCAGTGTTGGGCAATAGCGCGCTATTCCGCTAGTCCGCTAATAGCGAATAGCGGAGTAGCGATATCGGAAGTTCGAGAGAATAGCGGAATAGCGATAGCGGGAACGGCGCTATCGCTGTTCGATAGCGAGCAACTTCCGCTATATTCCGCTATCAGTTTATTTACAGTACAGAATCTGTTACAACAACAAGCAATCATGACTTCTTCGGCGTTATATCAACGCCTGTCGACAAATCGCACGAAAAGTTCTTGAAAAAGAGAGCAAAAAAGATCGTTGAAGAATGGTTAGATGGAGAACTCGAAAATAGTCTGGGGGATGCAACTTTTATGAATGACACGCGCTTCGTTAAACTGTTTATCAGGTCCTCATATTGTTGGTCATACTTGTTTTAGCTACTTTATAATGTTTTCCATGCTTGTTTTAACAATACTTGTTCATCACCAATTGTTTCTACTTCAGATATTAATACCTCTAGCATGACTTCAAGTAGTTAAAAATTTCAGATATAACACAGGCATGCCTTCTGGGGCACCAGTGGAGCGCATGTTTTCGCTAGGAAAGGATATCATGCAAGCGAAGCGGTCGAGAATTTCCGATGGATTATTCAATATGTTGATGTTTATCAAAGGAAACGAGAAATTATGAGCATTTTGGGCGCTGTTTTGATGATGTTTTCGCTGTTGAACTGTTGTGTTTCATGCTGTTGTGTTTCTGTTGTTGTTTTTTTATAACATGCTGTCGA